TCTAAAAACCGCGCGTGTGAAATATACGTCCGGAATATCTCCAAATGTATGATGTCGTGCCCAAAAGCGTTCAAATGTACTTTTCTAAGATGCATCACCTTTTTCGTTCACTTGCTAGCCACAGCCTAGTGTTAACCGCGGGACCGAAGCTCTGCGACTTATAGAGACTGCAAAGCGTAACATGAAGTTTTGTTACTAAAATATGCGAGCACGTGTGCTAAGAACTATGTTGCATGCTTTGTACTACTTTTAAATTCTGGCTGATTGTTGAACACATCCAGACAAATTGGCTTTGAAATGCTGATGCAAGTTGTTGACCCATTCCAGGAATCTTTGCAACCTCTGTACAGCCCAGTTAAAAATAGTCTGATAAAGTTTCGGAGTTCTATTGGTTTAAAAAGTCCACTGGACCACTGCAAAAATTAAAAGCCCAGGTGATTTATTTCGTGTAGTTATTTAACTCATGATTTTGTCAGTTCATTTACTATAATCTTAAGGCGAAATTGATCTCCCGGTAGCGTCTGAGCTATATTTCAGTTATACGAAACAGAAAATGGATATAATATCTGAGAAAACCATGCCCTCAACAACAAATGGGCCACATCCAGCGATTTTTTTGGGGAGGGGACTTTTTCTATCAGCGGGCCCTGTGTCAACCCTGTGCTGCCCCCCCCCCCTTTTGCCAAGGCTTTGGCTGCGCCTCTGGATATGTGTATCCAATAACATTTACATGTGGCAAGAGCAACAACAGTTGGTCACGATGTGAGTTCTATACCCACCATGGAACGTCACTATCTTGCGGTTCGTTGTCAGCAAATGAAACGAATTGGAGCGAACTGTCGCTATCAGACGTCGCTAGGCTGATCGTGGCTGACGGCACTTGTCCTGACTGGGGACAGGGATGACTTGTGCTGCTGTCGTTGGCGGACGCTGTCCTGACTGGGGACAGGGATGACCTGTGCTGCTGTCGTTGGCGGATGCTGTTGTCTCGGTTATTCCGTGCCACTCTCGGCTGCGGTTCTGCTGGCGCTACCGTCCTGGTGAGCTGGGTTTAAGTATGGGAAAAGACATTGTCAAACACTTTTGATTGTTCTTTCGGGTAGATTTTTGGCCAGCGCTAGCTTGTCTTCGCAAATTTCTCGAACTTCTCGTTTAGCTTGTGTGATATTTGTGTCTATCGTATAAGGCAGTTACTGTGTGCCTAGGCCAGCATGCTGTAAGAGGAAACGCAAAAAGCAGTTCCAGCGCACGAGCGCAGGAAACAAAAATAGCCTCGACGTCGGCAAAACTGGAACCGATTTGGATGCGACGAGACCCCGCTGTATACTGTCCCCGGCCACATATAGGGACAGTATCCCGGCACCCGCTGTATATAGTATAAAGTATACATAGGGATACCCCGGTACCATATTCCGGATAGATGCCGGGGCCAAGTGTTTTCAAGCGTGCTACGCTCCGCGAAGATTTAATGCTGCTACCGCCACTGTCGTTAGTGGTTAGATTTCCGTATTTAAGTCATGTTCACAATGCGCATCATGCCCATAATGTTCACCACGCCTATAATGTCCATAATGCCCGTAATGCCCATTATGCCCATAGTGCCAATTTTACCAATAATGCCCATTATTCCCATAATGCCCACAATGCCCATAATTTTCATGACGCTCATAAACCCCGTTATTACATAATGATCATTATAGGAGATTATTATATGCTGGCTGTGTTGCCCACTACTCATAATAATGCCCCCCATGCAACATAACCGATGGGTGTGTGGAGGTATTCGTTCATCGCATAGTATATCATGTTGTTCAGTAACATATATTTGCTTAAAATTTGGAGGATGTTTGTTGACAAAGATAGCCATGGTCGCACGTGAAAGAGCACGCCTCTCAGGTATATGATAGATCGATAGATCACCCCTGGAAAGCTGACGCATGGGTTAAGCTGCCCCAATCGGCTTCCCTGACTTTTCATCTGTCACATATTACCTAAAAAACACATTTTGTGTTAATTTTGGTAATGTGCAGGGGCTACTGAGGTCGAGCGAGTGGACTGGTCGCCACTCGTAAAAATATAACAGTTGTTCTAAATTAAGTACGCATGTTGGCAGCTCGCCAAAGGGAAGCGGTTCGAAACGTCACAAAGGCCCTGGGACTTGGTGTGCTGTATGCTGTTTCAGAACACACGGAACACGAATAATATTAGCTTGCTGTTACCATACTTAACTCATCATATTCTGGGTCATCACGCAGAAAAAACGACGTCTTCGTTCTCGTCTGCGGCGTTGTACATGACGGTGAACTCAGTGCGTCGTGCTCACTGTCCGTGGACCAGAAGTCGTCTTCAACAGCTCTGGCTCGGCGAACGGCGCCAGTCCACACCAGTCCATATCGCGCCAGTCGCGCACAGCCTCCTCGCTCCATCCAGTCTGACCAGCGGGCCGGCGCGGGCGAATCGCCCTGGTGAAGACCGGACTGACGTGTCACACAGCACCACACCTGCTCGATGCTGCTCGGCTTGGGGTGGCAGGGTGGCAGACGGACCACCCGCAGATCAGGCGCTCGCATCACGCACTGCGGCTCGGGTCCGCGGACCCCTCAGCAGCAGCTCAGCAGTTGTAGCTGAGTGGTCTCGGTGGGAACGGGACGCCTCGTTGGGCCAACCGATTGGTGATGGAAGCCTTCTTAACAGCTACCGTGACGTCGTAGCTCTCATACATCAGCAGGCTGCTGTGCGGTGCGTCGTCGAGCCTCAGCACCAACAGCTCTTCCAGCGACGGCAGCAGCTGCGGCGCTGCGTCAGTCAGCCAGCGGGGTAACAGTCACTGTCCATTTCACTACGGCAGCCGCCGCTGGCCATGAATTTCAGGCGAGACGCATCGACGAATCCGCTGGCGGCTCCGGCAGCCAACACAGTGAAGCGCTTTCCGCTTCCTGGTGACACCTGGCGGCTCATGTTGCGTGGCGGCCTGTGCACCATCCACCCTGCTGTGGCTCCACCCTGCCTGGTCCACCGCCGTCCACCATGCGCCGTCCACCCTGCTGTGGCTCCGCCCTGCCTGGTCCACCGCCATCCACCATGCGGGGTCCACCCTGCCGTGGCTCATCCGCGTGGTGGGCCAGATCTGCTCCAGGCGCACGATCGATCCACCGTTTCCCCGGTTTCGCTTCAGGTCCGAAGCGTGTTGATCCGGTGACAGGCGACGTCCAGCGGATACCTTTCGCACGTCACGCGCCGCTGAGATGTCCTGCGCCGGTGACAGGCGACGTCCAGCGGATACTTTACGCACGTCATGCGCCGCTGAGATGTCCTGCGCCGAAAGCCCATGCCGTGGGACCAGTGGCGTCAATATCATGTTTATGTTGTGGAAATAAACGTCTGTGACTATGTTTGACGGGCAAAAATACACATATATTAAAGGATCTGCCCCCCCCCCCCCATTTTGTTTGACCCCTATTCCGACTTCTCGCATCAGAGCACACATTATGATAGCCTCTCGTCACCAGCAACTTTTCCCCTACAGTTTTTGCGTTATGAGTGATCAGATATTATTTCTACGGAAGGACTGAGACTAGGTATTGGCATCACTGATGAAGCCATTGCTCAGCCTATCGCCCTCGATTGGTGTGCCAGCCTGCGCAATGCCTAAGTGGCATGATAGACGGCGTATTAGAGCAGGCGACTCTTTTAATATAACTCTAAATTCGTTCACCTTTCGGAAAAAAACTCCAATGAATAGTTGACTTTATCAGACCGAGATAATCGTTTTGAAGATAAGACAAGGTTGATAAGACACGGTCGTGAATATTCACAGAATAGAGTTGGGACAAATACAACTGTTTATGGGACAGAAATACTGTATCGCATCCCTCACGAATTGGGGCCTGTCGATGCATCCAAAGAAAGGGCCAATATTTTGTTAGCTTCACCGAGACGCAGACACACACACACACACACACACACACACACACACACACACACACACACACACACACACACACACACACACACATATATATATATATATATATATATATATATATATATATATATATATATATATATATACGCACAAATCTCAAAACGACGTTGCGCACGTAAACCGTTCTCTTTCTGCTGACTGCATTTTACCATGACCCTAGAACGCATTTTACATCGCCAGCCACGAGGAGAAGCGCCGAAAAACTCGCCGAGTTTTCAGCACCTAAGGGTGATGAGCTTGGTGGTCAGGACACTTCACAGGAACGATTTTCGTGTGCGCTCCATGCGGAGCCCAGAGGTGGTGACCCACATGCGACAGCGTGCTGTGCAGTGCCACGGTATTTGGCACAGTCACGCTCAGCTGGAGCACGGGATTAACGACATTGGAATTTCACGCCCGAAAGAAAACTAGACAGCTGGCGTCAGCAGTGGAGTCACGTATTTCAGGGAACACGCACACTGTATCGACCAAAGCAAAGGCTGCACAAAGACACCGCACTGTAAGTGGTGAGTATCACACCGATACGAACACGTACAAAGCCGGCCCAAGCACTCAGCGTCCACTTTACGTGGAGGGTTCTCAACATTAAGTAACAGCACGGCGAAGGTGAGCGAGCACTCACACCTCGCTCACATTCAAGTAAGTTAATCCATGAGCTGTGGCCGCATTGGGTGCATCCATTGCCGCCAAGGCGCGGCAGCTGGACGGACCACACCCCAAGACAAGCGGCAGTAGCGCGCCGCCCCGCAAGACTACTCATCTCCGTCCCAGCTCGCTATAACCCGCATGAGCCATTGGCAGGCGTTCAGCGAAAAAGACACCGGAGCATCCGTCGAGCCTACAGACACCGAATGGAAACAGGCAGGGCCAGGGAGAGTACACGCTGGGTATCACAGTCATCAAAGCCAGCCGGGTTGATTATCCCGCGCAGACAGCGCTGTTAGTAGCGTGCAGTGACCTTGCTCTGTCGCTGCGGTGTCGGCAGCCTGTCGTATCCCGTCGCTCTGCGCCCAGCCGGCGGCGGCACGTGCGCCGCCCGCCGATCAGTCGTCCTTCTTGTCGCCGGCGGCCGTCTGCTTCTGGAGACGGGCGTGCTCCTCCATGAGCTGGTCGTACTCGCGGCTGGTGGCCTCCGCCTGGCACTGCAGCATCTCGGCCTTCTTCAGGGCCGCGTCACGCTCGCCCTCCGCCTCCTCCAGCTGCTGCCGCAGCGCCCTCAGGTCGTCGCCGCCCGAGCCGGGGTCGCGGCCCTCCAACAGCCGTTGGGCGGCGCTGCTGGCGCTGGTCGCCTGGCGCAGCGCCGCCTCGTTGGAGGCCTCCAGCGAGGCCTGGTGCAGCACGAGCGTCACCAGGCGCTGCAGCACCCTGGCGACGGACGGAACGTGACGTCACTCGAACGTCAGGTCACGCCCGAGAAGGGGAAGGCGCACGTGACATTTAGTTTGAATTTAACGAGTTTAGCTCGGAGCCTGTCAATGCCGACCGCCAATGTTTGCTCAGAGGAGCGCGACGCTCGCCGTCACGCGCCTTCCCTATGGAGCGCCGGCGATTGCGGTGGCTTAATTAACGCCCTAGGTATAGTCCCTGCCAGTGAACAGACACCCTTCAGAGTGATGTAAAAATGGCAAAAAGCTTATTGCTCACAATACGATGTCGGGGACGACTGCACTGCACTATAAAGGGCTATGGAGTGCATGACCGAAAAATGACGAACCACAGAAAATGACGTCACGTTCAGTGCACAACATATGCGTTTTAACAACACAGCACGGCTCTTTCACAGGCGTGAAACGAACAGAAACCTTCCCCGAAGACAGCCCAGCCTAGCGCTCTGCAGCCGGAGCTTCAGCCACACTGACAACACGGAGACCGGCCGCCGGTTTGGCCCTCACAGGAACAGGAAGAGCGCGAGACCAGAGATGTAGAAGTTGCGCTGTGCCCTGAAGAGGCGCATGTGGTACTGGATTTCGACGTCCAGGTGGCTGTGGGTGGCCAAGTCGTCCGTCTTGAGGTCACCGCTGTATTTGCGCACCTCCTGGATAGCGTCTGCGGCAGGTCAGGGCAGCCAGCACGCGGGCGCGCTCGTCGCATACGGACACCCACGGCCGAAAACGTTTTGCTCTGGGACGTAAATGCCTGCAATGGCAGACCAGTAAAAAAGAAAAAAATGACGGGCAAAAATACGCATATATTTAAGGGTTTGCCCCCCCCCCCATTATGTTTGACCCCTATTCCGACTTCTCGCTTCAGAGCACACATTACGATAGCCTCTCGTCACCAGCAACTTTTCCCCTACAGTTTTAGCGTTATGAGTGATCAGATATTATTTCTACGGAAGGATTGAGACTAGGTATTGGTATCACTGATGAAGCCATTGCTCAGCCTATCGCCCTCGACCGGTGTACTAGCGGGCGCAATGGCTAAATGGCATGATAAATAGTGTATAGCGTATTAGAACGGGCGACCCTTTCAATATAACTCTAAAGTCGTTTACTTTTCGGAAAAAAACTCCAATGAACAGTTGACTTTATCAGACCAAGAAAATCGTTTTGAAGATAAGACACGGTTGACAAGACACGGTCGTGAATATTCACAGAATAGAATTGGGAGAAATACCACTGTTTATGGGCCAGAAATGCTTTATTGCATCCCTCACGAATTGGGGCCTGCCGATGTATCCAAAGAAATGTCCAATATATTGTTAGCTTCACCAAGACACACACACACACACACACACACACACACACACACACACACACACACACACACACACACACACACACACACACACACACATATATATATATATATATATATATATATATATATATATATATATATATAATGACTTGAAAGTTAGTGAACAAATCCGAGCAGTTTTTGCGCTTGTTGCCTATTGGCGACTTCCACGATTTTACCCTCCCCAATCATTTTTAGACAGTAATACTCATGAAATGGGACCATCCTAGACCGAATGTGTTGGTCTTGTAAGTTGTTGGTATGCGCTGCCTGTAAGTCACAAAAGAGAGTAAACCGTACTAGTATTCATTTTCCCAATAGATGGCGACACGCAAATGGGCTGTTCCATCCAACGTGGCGCGACCCGAGTGGTATTGATCAAAACCTTCTTGATTTCGTGTGTCTGCTGCTAAGAAAACGTGACTAGCGTATTAGGAGACACGTGAAAGTAATCCTGTAGAGTGAAGCCACACAAAACTGTACATAAGCGAACCACCGTGAGGAAAAGGCGTTTCCCTCCCTGCCGCATGAAGTGCCAGTGTCCGCGGCATCCACCATTGGACCGTCACGCCCAAGCAGAGTTTGGACGATTTGTGGAAGTGGTATGTGTGCCGTGGCGGTGACATTTTGTATTTTATTCATGTAAACTACACGTCGCGCAGCGAGTGCTTCGTGGTGCTGTGAGAATGCTGCTCTTGACTTACTTCTGTTGCTTCTTGAAACTTTGAAAGATAACAAAATAGATTCAAGGTCCCCCATCGTCACTGATACCTACCCACGAGACAATCTCGCGATGTTATCTTGTTGTGATTCTGAAGAAGCTAGAGAACAGCACCGGATCAATCGGGAAATTGACAAGCAGCTTAAGAAAGACAAGAGAGATGCAAGAAGGGAGCTCAAACTTCTGTTATTGGGTAAGGGTTTTGATGTGTTGGTGCTGTAGTTTCTTGGTGTTTATCCAACTCAAAGGTCTGGTTACTGCATAGATGTGGCTGATCAGGTAAACACCATTTAAGTGTCAAAAACTTTCAGTGTTGCATGGAAAGATACAGAGATAATCTTGTTACCACCTGAACTCAGGATTTATGGCTTCTGTTTTACCTGCATGGGTATGTAATGCTCAGCAATAGAATGCAATGCTAGTCCCTTTTGTGTTAAACCCAACTTCTTTAGAATGCTGATGGTATTGCTGTCCATGCTAGCTAGGCGGTATTATGCTTACATCTAAAATCACTTGCTATCTGTGAACCTGTACATATAGTTCTAAATGTGGCATACAATCAATTTGACTTTAGGTGGCCATTGCTTATGTGTACACTGAGAACAGCTTTTGTATCATTTCCACGATGCATGCATATCCTGGCAGGATTCTTCAGGGATGTCCAGATATTTAGGCATGAGGTGTATCAAATTGTTTTTGTATGATGACTAATATTTTGTGTCACTTAAAAGTGATTCATTAAACTGTCCTTTATTGAGCAACTTATCTTTATTCTCAAATTTATTCTATTGATCGCATTTGCAGCAACAACAATGGATTCTGTGAGCTTTTTAAAAGCTTTGTCACACAACCATTATGGCATGAACATAACTTCAGAGTTATAGGCAGGGATATTCTAAGGAATGTGTAATTAGGATTCAGTTTTTGACAATAACTTGCTTTTAAGATTAAAGTTACAGAGGAAGGAAAAATGGTAAGACTGGGAACCAACCAATAATGTATGCAAGCTTATTCAAGCAGTCATTATAATTGAGTGGCATAGGTTTTGAACTTAAAGGGATTTCATTAGGAGAGGAATAATCAAAATATATGGATGCATAGCTAGCTCATGTTTTGTCATCTCTTGTGTACATCCAATGAACTCTCTTGACCAATATGACCAATACATAAATCTGCCTGTCTTATGCATGGAGAGCCACCAAATGCTCTTGAAGTTTTCATTGTTTTTTGTGTGTTTGTTTGTGTCCACAACTTAATCACCATGCTGTAAAATACTGTGAGGCACCACATGAAAAATGTGGTGCCATCCATTTCTTTCCTGATGAAAGGGATGGACAATGCACAGGTGCATGTTGATGGTTCCTGCTGTATGTCACCTAAGGAGATGCAGCTATAAGACTTCCTGGGTAGGTACACTAAAGCTAGTATACCCACCACTGCTTGCAATTTGCAGTGCTCATGGATGAACCTTGGAAAGAGACAACATGCATCAGGTAAAACTTTGTGAAACCTGGTGGATGCAGTGAAGAAGCCCAGTTATTGGCACATATACTTGAATCACATTTTGTGCTTTGCTACCTCAAGGAGTGTTGTAAATAAGTCTGTATCAAAGTAGGAGCTGCTTGGGATTTCAGTTCTGAAATATTTCATTATGTTATCTTGGGGGGGGGGGGGGGGCATGTCCCAGGTGACTCCCTGTATCTGCACTTGGGTAGGACTGAAGTGTTGAATAGACTACAGTTAAACTTCTGCTTGGTAAGCATAAGTATGTAGCCCAAAATACATCACACGTCACTCTCCAGATTTTCCACATCATTGTTGTAACTGACTTTGTGCCCAAACCACTAAGTTTGGGGGTGTGGGTATGCTGGAAAGACTGAGGTTTTAGGGAGACAAACCCTTGATTTAGATTTAGATGTTTCCCATCTGTGTGGCCCTTTCAAAAGCATAAGATACTTTGGAATGCTTTAAACTCACTGGAAGGCTGTTTGTTTTTTGGTCATTTTGAAAAAAAAGATTGTGTATGGTGATGGAAGCCACATACCAGTTAGCCTTATATCAAAGCTTGCCAACTTATGAAACAAGAGATCAAGCACCAGGACTGTGGGATTATGTGACAAATAGATGGCAACTGATTGTTAAGCTTGGGCTTCTCTCACATCATTCTTGTGCAACCTAGGAACTCTTGTCTGCAGCACCCACATATGGATCTCACATAGGTGTTCCAACTGAAGGGAGCCACATAGCTGCACAATCATGTATTGTAAGCACAGATGAACATCAAGGACAGCTCGTTCTAGATGTGGTCAGGATAGCTCAAGGTCCCTGCCAAGGTCATGATCCATAGTTGAAAAAACATCAGCACAAGAAGCCACCACATGAAGCTTCTTGAGAAACTTGCTAGTTGAGAGACCATCAGCACAAGAAGCCACCATGTGAAGCTTTTGAAGCCATACATGAGAAAGGTTTTTGTGGGAAAATAGTTTAATGTCCATGTCATCAACCACTGCATTGGTTCATGCCTGTCAGTGTTGTTGACACACTTTCTGTCACCAACATGCAAAACTGTTTGTTCAAGTGGCGGAGGCATGAAACATGTCTTATTACGTCTCTTCTAAGTTGAACCATACATAACTGCGGCCCTATGCGTTTGATTGAATGCTGAGTGGGACTGGCGGCCATTGTCATCGTCCGAGGAATCAATTGCAGGTTGGTCCAACATAAGTTTGTTCGACTCTGGATTAACCGCAGCGCCGCGTCTAGTCAAGCGTGCATCGGCCGCGGTGAACTAGATCGTCCAGTGGCAGCCGCCGGGCCAAAGTCACTGGCTAAGGCTGCTCCCGGGGAGGGGGATGTCGGAACCTAGTCGGGACGAGATCTGGTAATCCCACTGTGACGTCACCGCGTGGACGCCGGAGGAAGTTTACATGTCGAGGAGTTTATTTGTTACGTGTCACAGATTGTGAGGCTTTCAAAGGTCATTTTAGAATTGTGGGTTTTCTTTTCATATGCGAGGCATCTTGTCTTATTTGTAACTGTGTTTCACAGCCTGAACCGGGTTTAAATAAGTGTGGAGCGTCACATATTCACACACCATTTCATAGCTCGGCGTCACGTACATCCAATGAGCTTTCAGTAGAATATCATCAGATTGTTACCCAGCTAACTGCCACCAGCCATTTCGGACTTCGCGGTGCAGTCACGGCTTACTTCAAATTCGTGAAACGGACGAACGAAACTCTTGCAACGTACACGCTCAAACAGACCATGGCGAAATACCCCCCGTAGAACGTCGCTGAGTGGGTAATCCACTCCTGGTCTCCTGGTGGGGTGGTTTAGCATCGTGCGCTCGCACATTATCTTGGCCGATTTCCATCCATATTGCATATTTAGACACATCCAAGCAGTAACAGGATAAGCATAGCATAAGCGTAAGCAGCAGGCAGTAACATACGCATCGATGCATAACCGATAAGAAGATGCGATTGGTGTATCATCTCATCGATACATGTATCCAAATGGATCTCAGTGCAGGTCACATGAGTCACATATTTGCATATTCAGTCCCTCCTTCCACAAATTATGAGACCGAGCCAGAGCCGAGCCACGACGGCGGTGGAGGCGCTGGAGGAATGCTGGCGGCAGCTGTGGCTCCGCATTAAGCATGACTGGATGCGCATGTACAAAAAATCTTCCTGAAGTGTGCTTTATTTAGCCTGTGACATCATCAGCTGCCTGTTTTAAAAAAAAAAATTGCTGTATGTTTGTGGAGATGGCTTTGTGGTCAAAGTTGCCGCTAATCGCACCTTGCTACGAAGATCCCAGCCCACCAGCAGCGGCAGGTAGCTTAAGTGGACAATTTTGGCCGACGGATTTTATCATCCATGTAATGCCGTCGCCAGTGACCCCGTGCGGGCTGGACTCTTGGCCAGTTGCCAATGGCCGTCATGAGTGAGTCACGCACGAGTCACGCGCGGTTTCCTGGACGCGGCCTCGCATGTCCGCCGCGCTGGGGACAGATGTTCGGCGCGCTCCTAGCAGATACGCAGTCTGCGGGTTATCAACGACCAGCGGGTCAACAAATTGATATGGGCCGGCGTCACGGTCCGCCGCCAGAAATCGATCCATGAAACCAAGAATGACACTGTCGTGTCGCAGATTGAGGTTAACTGTGTTGGGCGGAGTTTCGAAAATGAAGCCAAGTTGTGCAAGTCACAGTTGGATAAGTGCAACCGTGACGAAGTGGTGCCGCGGCGAACCAGGCGGTTATGTAATGCGTAGGTTCCGTTGATGCATGGTTCCTGTGCGGTTTAGTTCTCACCGAAGGCCCTCATATCAGCAGGAAACGGATGAGACACCTTTGTCATCAGTGGCTTAGGATTTATGTGTTTACTGGAGGCTACATTGCCTGCGGTAGAATCGCACAGGACTCGGGGATTAGTGTACGGTTGGAAAAGAGTACCTCATTAGTGTTAATGGTTAGCAGGACAAGTTCTGCTTCATTCCAACACTGACCCCGACGCTGCGCCCTGTGGTTTTCGTGTGGGCTTTACGACACATTTAGCAGCTTAGGCTAGGTGGAGTCGCCTGCCTTTCAGCCGGGCAGAGGATGGCGGGCACTACGGGGTCTTCCGCACGCTTCAGTCGCGTATAATAAACGTGAGATAATGAGTGATGGCTATGATAATGAGGCGGACGTGCCCCGCTGGTGGGTCGCCTGGCCGGCGGCTGTCTGCTGGGCGTGCGCGTGACCTGGCTGATGTCGCCTCGTCCGCAGGCACCGGCGAGTCGGGCAAGTCGACCTTCATCAAGCAGATGCGCATCATCCACGGCGTGGGCTACACGGACGACGACCGGCGCGGCTTCACGCGGCTGGTCTACCAGAACATCTTCATGGCCATGCAGAGCATGATCAACGCCATGGACCTTCTCCATATCGAATACAAAGTGGCAGAGAACAGGGTGAGTGGCCGGAATGTCGGCGCGGCCGGTGCCGTGTCGCGATGTGGCCAGGTCACCGGGCTCGGCCGCCGGCTGGCTCCGGATGGCCGCAAGGATGTGGCCCCGCGGCGCTGCTGCGCGCCCCTGGGAATGCGATGCTGCCGCCTCGGCTCTGTTTGAACGCGCCCTTGAGTCCTTGGCGGGCGAAGTTTGTGGTTGGGTGTGCGCTCGGTAGAGGAGTATTTTACGAGAACGGCGTCTACGCATTGCAACGACAGTGTAAAGAACACAAGGTGGTCTGACGTACTCTGCGTCGTACCATGAACCTCTCGCAGTGACGTGCTGTGGTGTGTGGTCAGATATGTTCAATAAAACTGACTGCCGAGTGTATTGGTTTGGGCGTCTGGGCGCTGGGCTGGCGTCGCCACGGACCTCCGCTCCGTGCGGCGGCCCTGACCGCGCCCTGCCCCACCTCGGCAGGAGCGAGCGGACCAGGTGAAGGGGGTCGACCACGAGACGATCACCACCTTCGAGGAGCCGTACATCACGTGCATCCGCGAGCTGTGGAAGGACGCCGGCATCCAGCGCTGCTACGAGCGACGCAACGAGTACCAGCTGACGGACTCCACCAAATAGTGAGCCCGGACTCCATGAGCTGGTGGGCTCCGAGCCCTCTTCACAGTGTCGTGAGCACCGGCGGAACGCGTGAAGCCCATGCTGACCTGGGAACACACGCACACACACATCGTAACATTGTCAGGCCTTGCTGAGGTCTCCAACCGGTCTTAGCCCTGCTGTATTGTGTTGGCGGTCCCTCTGCTATGTTCCGCATCCACACGTGGTGCTCTCTCATTTGGCACCGGAAGGAGCCGACGGTGAAAACAGCGTGGCGAAATCCGTGGCGGACAAGGCTGTCTCTATGAAGCGCATGTTAAGGCTCGTTCCGTTGGTGTCTTGCATACACTTCCCCTCCCTCCATCATTCCCACAGCTAAGCTCTCCTGTTATTATCCACTGTTTTGCCCATTCCCTACAGCTACGTGCGTAGCGATGGTCCCCGAGCATTTCGAGTCCATCGCATCGAAGGTTTCGGCTGGGAGTAAATCGGAACGCTGTCATGGTGTGTGCTGCGTTGACTTTTCAAGGATGGCTGGATTTACCATGCTATCACAAAGCATGACTGGGCACTTGTATGTGTGTTTGCCCGCATTGCCCAGTTGGGTTATTGCCTTAACAGTGAACTATAAGCCGACGCGGTGACGGCATTGTATCCAGACGCAGCCACAACCGGTTTGGTCGGGTCTTCCGCCTGTCGGGCTGACATCATAGCCCACGGTGTGTGTGTGCGCCCAGCTACCTGACCGACCTGGACCGGATAGCCTCGCGGGACTATCTGCCCACGCAGCAGGACATCCTGCGCGTGCGAGCGCCCACCACCGGCATCGTCGAGTACCCGTTCGACCTGGACTCCATCATATTCAGGTAGCGGACTCCGGCCTCTCGGCGTGCCGCGCGTGCCGGGCTGGAGCCAGCCGGGTGTGGGAGGGCGGCCAGCCGGCGGCGTGTCAGCAGACGCGTTTGGCTCACAGCGACGGACCAAATGCCCAGACTGGCCCGCTTCGGTGCGTCGGTGCTTGCTGCTCCAGCTTTTGTCGTTTGTCTTGCGCTCAAAGCGGCCGAACGGGACTCGCCGCGGCCCGTTTTGAACGTGCGGCCGACTCGGATGATCAGTTATCCCGGCGCCCCTGCGTCGTGGACACGTGCCGGAAAGCCTTCCCGGGAGCGGTTTGGGCGCCGCGCGGCGGAACTGTTGTCGAACGCACCGGTGCTGGCGCCGCGCGGCGGGAGCTGTCGTTGAACGCACCGGTGCTGGCGCCGCGCGGCGGGAACTGTTGTCGAACGCACCGGTTATGGCGCCGCGCGGCGGAACTGCTGTTGAACGCACCGGTGCTGACGTCGCGCGGCGGGAGCTGTTGTCGAACGCACCGGTGCTGACGTCGCGCGGCGGGAGCTGTCGTTGAACGCACCGGTGCTGACGTCGCGCGGCGGGAGCTGTTGTCGAACGCACCGGTGCTGGCGCCGCGCGGCGGGAACTGTTGTCGAACGCACGGATGCTGGCGCTGGCAGGATGGTGGACGTGGGCGGACAGCGGTCTGAGCGGCGCAAGTGGATCCACTGCTTCGAGAACGTCACCTCCATCATCTTCCTGGTGGCGCTCAGCGAGTACGACCAGATCCTGTTCGAGGCGGATAGCGAGGTGAGGACGGGTCACAGCTCTGGTGAGGTCTCATGGCGGGTCAGGTCACGATGAGGAACGTGGATTTGCTTGGGTCAGGTCTTGACGGGAGACCTGGTCAATTTTGGGCAGGTTATTACGAGTGGCCGGTGCTAAAACCGGGGCGTGGGGATTGCAAAGGGCTGAGCTCCAGACAGGGGCCGTGAACGAACGAAAGCCCATGGGGTTAAGAGGGGAGTGGCACCAGGCTCAGCCACCGCCAGGTCATAGCAGAGGACAGGTTGCAGCTGTGAACAGGCAGGGACAGATTCAGGTGTGCGGTCAGCCCCGAGCAGGTCAGGAGCTGGGGATGGGGCTACGCACCGACAGGCAACACGGAGGGGACAATGCTCTAGTCCGAGCAGGTAAGAGCTGGGGACGGTACTAGACACCGAACAAGCCACACGGAGGGGACGAGGCTCTGATGCAGACAACTCTGAGCGTGCTTGGGGTCCACGAACAAAGCACAGGAAACGGGGCTTACTTGCTGCGAGTTCGGAGGATCTAGAACATTAGGAGAGGTGACGGTTCAGTTTTTGAAATAGCTCGTATCTTCATTTCGGACAGGTCATGAGGTGGCACGGAGTTAATTTCCGTACTTATGGGTGTCGGGGTTGAGCTTCCAGCAAGTCATCTGTATGGGTCAGGGCGTGTTGACATGTGCAGGTGCGTGAGGAAGATTCAAAGAATGGTGTATATATGTTCGTACCGGAGTTGCAACAGATTTAACGTTACTTTGGGCTATTTCACTCATCGCGAGGCATGTTTGTCTTGTCACTCAAATGCCCCGTAGTCGTCTGGCTGCTGTAAAGTGCCGTCACGCGCGTATTCGATTGGCATCGCTGTCCCGACACTGAGGCCGTGTTTCGGGGCCGAGGCTGACTGAAGCGTGTTCTCCGCCAGAACCGCATGGAGGAGTCGAAGGCGCTGTTCCGGACGATAATCACTTACCCGTGGTTCCAACACTCGTCCGTGATCCTGTTCCTGAACAAGAAGGACCTGCTCGAGGAGAAGATCATGACCTCGCACCTGGTGGACTATTTTCCGGAGTACGACGGTGAGTCGCGCGCGCCAGGGCTTCCGAAGCCCCCACCGGCGGCCCGGCTCGGCCCGGCTCGGCCCGGCCGAGGCCGTACATGTGTGCCGGCCGGCCGCTTTCGCAGGAAACCCGTGGGAGCGCCGGACCGGCGGCCGACCTTGAGACGGCGGCGGACGCGCCGAGCCTAGCCCAGCCGAGCCCAGCCGGTGACCGGCGGCGCGGCGCTCTGAAAATAAACCGCCGATACAGGCCGCTCTTCACGGCGGCGTGGCGGAGTGAGCGCGGCCGTTTACGAATGCGCCTGGAGCGGTTGCAGGGCGACGGTGCGCCGGTTCCGTCGCCTGCTCTGTACGCCGGCTGGCGGGCGCGCGCTGACCCGGCGCCGCTGGTGGCAGGCGCCAAGGGCGACCACGTGGCGGCCCGCGAGTACGTGCTGAAGATGTATCTGGCGCTGAACCCGGACCCCGACCGCATGTGCTACTCGCACTTTACGTGCGCCACAGGTCCGGCTGTACGGTAGCCGCGTCCCGGCCCGCCGCCGCCGCCGCCGCTGCCGCCGGCGGCGGGTAGCGTAGCTCGAGTTGACTTCAGAGCCGGCTTGCACGCAGTCTCCCGCGCGGCACAGGACGGGCTGGCCCGGTCCGCCGGTAGCGCGGCTCGACCGGGCCGCAGCGGTGGGCGACGACGGGGTGGTGTGGTAGCCCGCGCGGGGTGGGGTGGACGAGGGTGGGTCCTCGCTCGCGGGCGGCGAGCGGAAGGGCACGCCGGAAGCGGCGCCGCCTTAACGAGGACGACGGTCGCCGCTTGCGGCCGGGAGCGTGCGGCTCCACCGACGCCACATGGCTGGGAGGGCTGTGGTCACCATGTGGTTACTATGGTGGGCTCATGCGGTTGGGGCGCTGGCTGTGTCATGACTTCTGCGAATGGGCGGGGGAGCCGCTAGACGTCACGGCACCGAGCTGGGAAGGACGGCCGGCTGTGACCGCGGGGGTGACGCTGTGGCGGGGTAACACTGGGGTTATGGAGGGCGTGTCGTTTGGCCGAGTTGTGGCGGCCGCGGACGCGGTCGCCGCTCACCCGCGTAAGGCTGTTCGCGAATCGAGTCCCACGCGCGGTCGTCCTGTGGCGATTCGCCAGGTCATCATTCGAAACGGACCACTTCAGTCGCGAACTGACGACCAATGGGCACGTGGTAAGAGGCCCATGTTCGGCAGTTTGCGGTAGCTAACGATTGCTAGTTCGTCATTTGGCAAATTTCGGGCCGTTCGAGGCACCGTCGTGCTGACTGTCCGGGGTACAGCGGGGTTGGTGGGTTGATGCCACCTGCTGTTTTCATCAGAATAAGCCAGGATTTACGCTAGTTAGGCCGGGCTTAAGCCGGTTGAGTCGTTTTTGCCGTGGCCGCGGCGGAATCTGGCTAAAACCAGCTTTGTGTCTTCCCGTCGGCTCAAAAGGCTGTGTGCCTGTGGCGCGCCCGCCGCCTGTCGCTTAGATCAAATACACCAGACTAGATCAGCAGCGGCGGCGTGACACGCCGCTTAGCGCCGCCCGCACCGCACCGCCGGGCACTGCCGCCGGCCCCGACACGTGGCGGCCGCCGGGCTGTCCCGTACTCCCGCCAGCACCGCCCGCGCTCTCACTGTCACGTCGCTCACCCGAGTCGCCGGTGCTCACCGTGGCCGTCGGCCGCCGGCGTCCCCGGTGTCCCCGGCGCCGGCGGTGCGTAGCTAGTCGGCCCGGTTCGGTGGCGGTGACTGTAGTGGCCAGCGTAGCCCGTGGCTGTAGTGTCGCCGCCGCCGGTGGTGACCCGTCGGCCTCTGCCTCGCCTGTAGGTCCGCAGCGGGACGCCATCGCGGCTCGCGAGTTCATTCTGAGAATGTTTGTCGACCTGAATCCGGACGCCGAGAAGATTATTTACTCGCATTTCACGTGTGCTACAGGTAACGTGGCGCGCGACCCGGCCGGCCGCGCATGCCTGGGCCGTGGCGGCTGTGCCGGCTGCTGTGTGTGTCGTCCGTCGACTGTCGGGTGCCTGGCCGCCGACAGCACGGTGTCGGGACTGCTCGTGCATGCTGCTGGGGCTGACCGACGCCGCGTGTGCCGGGGTGTGGTCGGGCTGTCAAAATTGAAAGTCGGGGAAAGGTTATTCGAAACTTGGATTACGGTGTAAGTCAGGTTGTCAACAAAGTTCATGTTTTTTTTGTGAGGTAAAACTTGGCCTGTTATTTCTCTGTGCTGCATCTTCGGAGCCATCCATCACGGTCTCTCATTCAGTGATTGGGGCACTCGACCGTCGGGGAAGCGCCTTGCAGATTGTACTCGGCTACAAAGTCACACAGATTAACCTGAAAGTGAGCAAGTTAATAATTGGACATGGCATCGTAATCCACGTTTCGAAAAACAGCGTTTGGTTTTGCCAGCCCCGCTTGTGACTGCGCATGCGGCTGACCCTGCCTGGTGCACGTGCGCCTGCTCGCCCCACAGACACGGAGAACATCAAGCTGGTGTTCTGCGCCGTCAAAGACACCATCATGCAGGCAGCTCTCAAAGAGTTTAACCTTGCCTAGCGGCCCGGCCCGGTGAGTGGGAGCTCAGCTCACTGCTCCCCCCCTCCCCCCCGCGAGTAACGCGGGCATCGCGCGCGTCACGTGCGGTGTTGGCGTGGCCCGACCGGGCTGCGTATCCGTCATCACGGTCTTTCACCCAGTGATTGGGATACTTGGTCTTTCAGAAACACCTTACAGTTTGTCGGTATGGTATGGCGGGTAAGTTAAGTGAAATTCGTTGTGTTTGCCAGAATCATGTTGGCTGAAGTTTTCATTTCAGTAAATTTTCGGATATTTCCCAGTATCCTTTTTACTCTGTTACAAACTCCCTAAGGTCACCACATCTGCTTGTAAGCACTTAAATATCTGACAAAGAAACAGAACGCAAGGATGTCTTGGATGTTGCTTGGTTGGATGTTGGGTGCTTTCTGTGCTTTTTATTACTAACGATGCACGATACGCTGAAATGCATGACGTATTTTGGTGGGGCATGAATTGTATTGACTCGTAATCTGACGTGCATTTCAAACTACGTGTGTCAAGGTATTGACATGCACAATCATCGTATCGTGGATGACGTCACGCGGTCAACTGCCAGACCGCGGGGTGCATTTATCGAGGTGCATTCCCCATGACGCCACCCCGAACGCACGTCTGCTGTCAATCGTCGCATGTGCCACGTAATCCCGTTTTGCCTCGCAGCACACGATATATGGTGCCGTCGTAACGTGCCTAACTATGTGCGAAGGTATTGATGGGTGCATACTCGCTTTGAAGTTGCCTATTAACATAAGCGTCAAAGCGGGTTACATGTGTAAGTGATCTTAACCTGAGGCATCCCATGCTTCCGCTGAGAGCGCTAGTTGGCCATAGTGTAAGGCACATTTGGCACTCGGGTTTTGGAACTCAAAACCAGTTTGCACGGTGGTGTGCACACATATAACGTATTAAGCGATTCAGCATTACTGAAAAAGAGAATCCAAAGCAATCTTGAAAGCTGCCCATATTTTTACATTTTTTCTGCGGAAAAGCTACCTGGGATTGAAATGTTATCTCATTGATACTTTCGAAGGATTCGTGGATATTCCATACTTTCGGCTGAGAGCTACGCTCCTCGTTGGCGGTTAGCTGCTAGCCTGTATTTTCCTTGAACCAAGCATATAACTGAAGCTACTGACTGTGAAGTACAACTGTCTGTAAATGGGAAACGTTTTGGTATTGGCTATGCCCTGTACGATATGGCAATCCAACCAACTGCTTATGATCTGTGCATTGGGCGTCTTCGTTATGGAAACGCAACTTAACCATTGCGTTTGTGGTGTTTTTTGTTGACTTTCAAATCTTTATGTTTATGCCGTCATGGCGTTGTCGGGAAAGTCCAAGCTGTCAACATGGACACCGTTCCGTGTCGTGCGTGGCCTGCCGCGGCGGGGGAGGTCACACAGTGCTGTGTTTCAGATACGGAGAACATTCGGTTCGTCTTCGCTGCCGTCAAGGACACGATTTTGCAACTGAACCTGAAAGAATACAATTTGGTGTAGGCGCCGCGACCGAAGCGCGCGCCGCCCGCGCGGGCGACTCGCGGCCGACCGAGGAGGCCCTGCCGGCCAGTGGACGGCACTATGCTTTGCGCTTTCAGGCCCGGTCAGCGAGGCGAGGGCCAGGCGACGGCGGCTGCCAGCCGGCCCGTTTTCATACCATTCCCCGGCGCGCCGCGCGGGCGCCTGCCGCCGGCGACAACACAGAGCTTAGTACAGGGGCTGCTGTGGCCGGCGCATGCTCGCGCGCATGCGCGGCTGTCGGCGCGCCGATTGGCCGGCTCTGGTGGCGGCGCCGACGTGACGGTCCGAGTCGAGGCGCCGAGCGCGCGCGGCCGCGCCGTCGGCTCCCCTCAACGAGAGTTCGGTTCTTTTCCGTGTGCCAAATGCGCGCTGCGGCGAGCCGAGTGGAACGGCCGCGGCGGCCGTGGCCGTGATTCAGGAGTGCGCGCGTCTGGGCGCGGCGCGGGCGGCCCGGCCCGCGTCGCGCCGCGCCGCGCCGCGCGCCGCGCTGCCCGCCGGTGTAGTAGCGTCGTTACTATGATAGCTTTATTCGTGTAGTCACCGGGCTGTTTTGTTATGATGCGCGCCTGCGGCGGCGCGCTGCCCAGGTCGGCGCGCGTGCGATCAGCGGCGCACGCCGGCCGGCGCGCCGCCCCGTCCGGGCGAGAGAGAAAGAAAGAGAGTGGGCGCGACGCGGGTGGCGCCACACCCGAGCCGGGCTGTAGAGAGCGCGCGCTCGCCGTCTCGTTGTGTCCGTTCCGCCCGTCTTTAAGTATCAGCCTATGCCTTCTGTGTTTTGTAAGATCGTTTCTTTGCGTGTTGTGATGCGGCGCTATGTGCGGGGCGGGCGCGGCCGTGGCGGGCCGGCCGCGGCCGCGCGCGCCCGGCGGCGCTGGAGCGCCCGCTGCGCGCGGCCCAGAGCGGTCAAGCGCGCCCTGCCGCCAGCCGATGGCGGCCGCCCGAGTGCGGGCCGCCCGTGATAAGGGACGGCGCCGCGCCGTCGCCCAATAGTCCCTCGCTGTGTTCCTCTCCGCGCCCCTTTTGTAACTGGCGACACGTCCGCTGGCGGCCGCGCTGGACGGTCGCGGCGCGGCGGCGGCGCGAGGTGCGCGGTGGAGCGTCCACCGGCCACCGCAGTCGCCGCGCGCTACCAGCCGCCCGGGCCGGGTCCCCCGCCTGCACTGCGTCTCCCCCCGTGCAGGCCGGCCGACTGGCCGCCGGGCCCCGGTCCGCGCGCTGCCGGCGCCCGCCGCCGCGCCGACCGCCGCTCCCAGACTCCCTGACCTGACCTGACCTGTGCCGCGCTCCCCCACGGCACACACACACACACATACACACACACACACACATACAGACGCGGGACGTGCCGACACACAGGCGCAGCGGCGTGTGAGAACGAGCGAGAAAACATTATCGTATTGTTAGCTGCCATGCTTTGTAACTACCAATTATGAAGGGTTTGTGTTCAAGAAAATTAATATTTAATGAACGGATGTTTTCTTCTGGGTGGAGCTGGCTCGCAGCCGCCCACGGATCAGTGACGAAGCTGGCGCGAGGCCGGTGGTGCGGCGATTGAGAGTGCTCGCCGTGTGGGGATGCGGGGGTGGGTCGCCCAGGTGGAGACTTCGCCCTCTCCTGACGTGCGCGCCGCGCTGGGTTGGCCCGGTCTGGCCTGGCCGACCGAGCGGGCGCAGCATGATATCGGCGACAGCCTCAGGAGAACGCACCTCGCGATGACTATCGGTCGAGCGACGCCCGGCATACGAAAGCTCGGTGGCGGCCGGAGCGAGGCCGTGCGAGTGCGTCGTGATGCTTTGTTTCGAATGACATCAGTTGTGTGCCGAGAACGCGCGAGGTGGTGATTGGTTCGGTAACGTGTACGGCGAATTGCAGCACGTCGGGAAGTTTTCACGGGATTAGGAAATTCACGGGTCTTTGCGCTCGGGTGGAGACAGCTCCTGTGAAGGCTTGATTCCTCATCCGAGACGTGAATGTTTCAGTACACCTGAGATATGCAGTTCTTCGTGTGTCCACTTCGGATTTTTCTTCGGTTGCGGAACGGAACTGGTGGAGCAGACGTGGTTCCGTGTTGTGGATCTCAAACCCACGTCACGCGTACCTCGTAATACTTTTGGGACCAGGAATGTTGCGTTGTGTAAAAGTAGTTGGCGTGCGTTGGCGCCGTCAGTGAGCTTTCCGGACGGATGCTGCTGGGCTGTTCCAGGACAAACAACCAAGGTAAGCATAGAATTGTTCGCCATGACGGCTCCGGATGGATGGAATTGGATGGATGGAATTTGGATGGAATTCGGCACATGTAGTCATCTTCATCACAGCCAGGATCCCTTTGGTTTTAGGTGTCTAGGTCAGGGTCGCAAGGAGGGGGTCACGGAATTTTCGGGGACGTCTGGAAAGTTGAACCAGAAAACGGTGTTTAGTTATGCAATGATGGCGTGGACCTGATCGAAGCCGCACATCATTGGAATCAGGTCATGCGTTACAACCATTAACAAACAAATGTTAGAAATTAAATTAGCAAACAACACTTTTGGTTATTTTTAACCCCGTGACCACGTGTCTCTTAAATCTGCGACCTTTCGAAATGTTCCAATTCAGAATTATGCTGCTCTTTCCAAGTATGGCTAGTACTCTGCATAAGTGATTTTATGTGCTTTTTGTGCATTGTAGCTCTGACTCTGTGACGTGTGGCCGAGGTCAACAGTGAGGTCATGCTATGGGCCTGCTCACATCTAAGGTGCGTGTGACGTGGAACATTCCGACATGAGTGTCATATGAAAGCCCATCATCCAACAAATTGCGTTGTTGATTTTTAAAGTATGTGGGAGGTCACGTGAGTCACGTCAGTGACCTAACCTTGGGTAGTTGTAGGCGAGACGCAAGTGGTCGGTATGGTGTCATTCTAAAGGCATTATGGGGGCGAAAATGATTGACGCACAATCAAGCAGAGCACAAGAACTGAAAAGAGATCCAATAATTGTTCTTGTTATCCTAGCATTACGGCCCGAGCCTAAGACCTCGCCTCAGACTCTGAGGTGGAAGAGCGCAATGCGAGCTGCGCACGTACATGTCTGCGACTGGACATGTCTGGACTGTCTGCGCACGTACTGTGAAGGTACGCCCGGGGCAGGCGGAGAAATTGCTCGTTCCGCATCAGGCCGAGTCGGTTGCCGGGCATACAAATGTCTGGAAGCATTTGCATCTCTGATTTGGAAGGTGGGGAAATTTCTCCGTGGCCGGATCTCCGCGGGAAGTGGCGAAGTAAAGCGTAGCGGCCGGATCTCCGCGGGAAGTGGCGAAGTAAAGCGCGTGGCCGGATCTACGCGGGAAGTGGCGAAGTAAAGCGCGTGGCCGGATCTCCGCGGGAAGTGGCGAAGTAAAGCGTAGTGGCCGGATCTCCGCGGGAAGTGGCGAAGTAAAGCGTAGTGGCCGGATCTCCGCGGGAAGTGGCGAAGTGAAGCGCGTGGCCGGATCTCCGCGGGAAGTGGCGAAGTAAAGCGCAATGGTTGCGGCAGTGGTCTTCGCTGGCAGTGGTGTTGATTGTTTGCATCAAGAGGACCTGCAGCGCCAGACCACAGCTCTTGGAATAACATGTGCACCATTTGATGGCGAAAGATGTCTGCGATATAAGAAGACGGAACTGCATGGGGCATTTTTGCGGACAGTGTTTGAGTGAAAAAGAGTGAGTGAATAGCTGTACAGCCTGGACAACATGAATGACAATGCATGCACAGGATAAGTGCTGTTTGAGAAGTGTATATCGCGGTTGATCGGAGCACCTTAGTCGGTGTTTTGCAGACACGAGCTGTGTCGTTCAGCGAGGCGATAATAACTGAGATGATATCACTATGTGGCCAAAGCGTGTGGCTATGTGACCACAGCCCCTGCTATGCATGCCGCAGCGTGATCCCGTTCCCAGCCGTGAAGCGGGACTAGCCGGGGCCTTGTTTGGATCATTTTATTTCTTCATATCAGACATAGTGCGGAGGTTTCAATGGTATAGCGCTCACTGCACGCTACCTGCATTCGTCCACTTGTGTTTTGTACGAGGCATTGTCACCAGCGTTGTTGTGTAACATCCGACTCCCCGGTACACAGCGTGTCAGTAATGGCAACATTTTAGTCTCCTTTGATAACGCGCATACAAAAACGTACCGGTCTATTGTAACGACACTTCTTTTCAGACGCATGCTCAGGGAAGACAAACACGAGGTTTTTCTGCAAGTCCTTGTTACCATAAGATGGTATTTGGACTCCGATGTGAGTGGCATTTCTTTGCCACCTCGTAGGGCAAAAAATGCATGCAATGGCGCCGGTCAGTCTGTCAGTCGAGCATTTAACGTGCCTGTTAAGCGACTGACGGAAGTCCAGATACTGAGCCCTCGCACCTTCTTCGAGTCCTGTAATGGAAACTTAAGTACCAAGATAAACTTCTGTCGGCCTAAAAAATCTATCGGAGATGGCAGCGGAATCGGACCTGTTTTCTGAGTGCCCGACTGATGAAAGAAATTTAAACGTTCCGCCGTTTAGTACCCGTCAATAAATATACCGTCGTTACACGCAAATGAACATGACTGTTTCGTACCGTAGAATAAACGCAACGTAGTGACACACTAGTCATCGGCATTTCGATGAGTAACCCCACGCACAGTGTGGGCAACTGCCGCAAGTGATGAGGTTTGTTACAGCTGCGGGTGCTTGCGACACTTCCTCGCGAAATTATGCGTCTAGCACCTGCGGAGATTACCTGCATTCGTGTGTATCATGCTTGTGGTGATGTTTGTGATGTGAGAACAGGCGTGTTGGATCATAAAATTGGCGCACTTTGTTCAGATGACCGCGTATATGCAGCTGACCGCGGGAATGCAGCGTCGCCATTAGAGGCCTTCATGAGTAAGATTGCCTGCCGAATTCCTCCCCCCCCCCCCCCCCACCATCCCACTGTACATGTCACTTTAGCTGTACCCACCTGCTATTTATCCATTTGCAGTTCGTCAACACTAGTTATGTATTATGAGAATGGGTTATGAAGCTCAGACCGAAGTTAACTGTTTTGCACTGATAAGTAATGACCTGGAAACCATAAAGATCTTACCCATGCCCGCAGTTTACCAAAATTTACCCAACACAACCCGTTACCCATTGTTTTACCGAGACGTTTTAGCTCTCCAATCGTCGTAATGTAACACATAGCAACACGGCAGCCCACATTG